TAACGCCCCTTTCCGTGGGAGTCACATTTGTGCTGTCGTTGTGCAAGAGGACCTTTTAAACAAATCGTTTTAAACTTCTTTTCAAAGAATGGAAGGGGGGGGGGGGGGGAGAAGGTTGCACAGTTCAAGGATCCACACTTTCGTGGTGTTCGGTCCTATCAGAGAGGAACGTTAGATTCGGACTCACACGTTAGTACTGTCTTTTCAACAACCAGACCGCGTTAAAAGGAGTGTTGAACCCATATCTTCTAAAGCCATCGAGAGGCAAATGAAAGAACAAAAAAAAAGCATGTCTGAGTTTCCACTCTTTTTTCTCCCTTGCTAAGACTAGGAGTGAAAGTACAACAATTTATTGAGGTCGACAACAACAATATTATAACTATTTGTTTTAATCCTGTCAGCCAGTTTACAGTAATGTCTGATAAGAACTGACGACATCGGTGGTAAATGTAACAAGCTCAGGGAAACCGCCATAATGATGTTGCAGTTTTAGTAAAGTTTTTACGGCGCTCACAACTGCACAAGATAATGATGTTTACATAACAAATTACATATCTTGATAAGCACACTTTTTTCGCTCACTTCGGGTCACGTTACAGACCTCCACAGAAGAAACATTGTACACATCAGGGGCTGCCCAGTTTGTCACAGGCCCAGTCTTTCACAGGCCCAGTTTGCCATAATTACAGCACTTTAACACTGTAGTTGTAACTTAAGTTTTTTTATTCTCCACGTTCACATTGGTGGTGTAGAGATAGTCCCTCTCAACTGTCAATTCAGCTTGTGTTGTTCAATATTTCTTCCCTTTTGTAATGAAATCAAAGTAAATAACTCTGAAAACGTTCAACAATGAAAGTTCTTTCGTTAAAAACTATCGAGAAATAAAATTCAATTCATACAATCCATCAATCTTTCATTTACTCTTTTAAAGAGTGTCAGTGATAACTTCCATCATGCAGGGCACAGTCGAGGCGGGGTGGGCCAAACTGGCATGCCTCTGTAGATACCAGGGTTCATAGGTTGGAAAAAAAGGTTATTATATCTTTTAAAAAACCGGAACCAGCGAAATGCAGTTCCTCCGATGCACGGACACATATAGCCACGAATGTGACTGATTTAATGCGAAGGATTCAGGTTCCGAATCGGAATACCAGCAGGTTTTGAACCGCGCCTTCAACTTTTTATTGTTAAAACACTTTCTTAGAGGTGGGGGAACCTAAAAAAGGCGGGGGTCAAATGCCCTGCCGTAGACACGATATTATTTAAGAAAAAAAATCTAGATGTTTTTAATGCCCCCATCGGCAGACCTTCTCAGTAGAAACATTGTAGATATCAGGGTTCTTAGATTGAAAAGAAGGTTGCTATTATTTTTTTTAAAGAAACCGGCACCAGCGAAATGTGGTTCCTCAGATGCACGGACACAGGTGGCCACGAATGTGACTGATTTGATGCGAAGGATCCGGGATCCGAGTTGGAATACAAGCTGTTTTTGACCTCCACTTTCATCAAGGTTCCCCCTCTGTGAAAGATGATTGAGGTAAACATTCCAGAAATTATACCGAGATACTCGATTGACGTTGAGGGAAGAGGTCAAGATATCCAGGTATTAAAACTTTCATATAATATAGCTCAGATGTGTCTGGACGTCGGAATGGATGCTGAAATGCAGAAGTTTTCAGTTCCCGAAATTGTCGCTGTCTTCCTGCAAAACTAATACATAGGCCGATCTGTTTATTTTAGTTTTTAGAAAGAGAGTTTTACGGCGCTTGCAGCTGCATAAGGTCATATGAGCGCGCTACATTATCTGTCAATCAGTTCCTTCCATCTAATGTCCTCGCTGACGTGAAGAGATGTCTTCTCTAACATGAAGAGTAAAGTGCAAATGAAAAGAAACTGCACGAGTCTTTTTTTTTTTTTTAGCATTCAATGCCCTTTATTGTGTTGCTGTGCTTAAAAACAAAAACTGTAACAGCGCCAAATTGTCTATGCCACGTTGAGTAAAGCTTTCTCGAATCGTAAACTATTAATGGAGCAGAATTTAAGGCGCTCACATGATCTTATGCAGTTGCGAGCGCCGTAAAACTCTACCAAAACAGAAAAGATATAGAACAGCTGAATTATAACAGCAACAGGGGCCTGATTTATGAGAGTAAAGCCTCCCCTGTCTGTAAATCTTTTACGTCCTATTTATAGAATTTACGCCACCTAAGCCGGTGGCTGCTTCGCCCCTGCTTGTTAGAGCCACGCCAGGGCTAAAAACATGTATAGGTTTAACGCCCTTTTCAAAACTGTTAGAGTTAGGTCATACAATGTAATTTAAGAGGCGAGACCTACGAGTTTAACGTCCATTTCTGAAAGGACCGAGCCAAATGGGAAATTCATGTAGAGCTTCTTTCCCAAGGACACAACGTCGGACAGAGCTGAGGCTCGAACCCCCGAACCTGCAATCTCACGATTACGAGTCCGGTATCCTAACCACTAGGCCACCAACACCACTCCAGGGCTGAGAGGGATACGGTATTCCAGCATAAAGTAAAATAAAGAAAGATCTACAGGACAAAATAGATTTCCCATTCTTAAGTTAAAGTTAAACGCACAACTGAACTTCTGCTTGCAGCGGCGAAGTGCCTAATCATTGCACCACAGACGCTGGTCGTTAGCAACAAAACATCAACAGCAACGACAACAACAGCAGCAACAGCGAAGGTGATGGCGACACCGACAATAACAACAATAACAACAACAACAACAACAACAACAACAACATCAAAAGCAACGACAACAACAACAGCAACAACAATGAAGTCAACACAACAAATCAGCACAAACCTCAGAAAATGCATCTTGCTCGTGTTACAACTACAGTGAATACACATTTTAATATACACGTACATTCTCTCTCTCTCTCTCTCTCTCTCTCTCTCTCTCTCTCTCTCTCTCTCTCTCTCTCTCTCTCTCTCTCCCCCCTTTTTTCTCCTTTTCTCTCTCCCTCTGTCT